TTTCTGTACCGCAGTCTCGGGCACTGAAAAGAGAATCAATGCTCAGTAGCTCTCCTGTACCCTACTGTTACCAAGCGAGGACCCCACAAAATACCCTCCCCCAACCCAAAAAACAAAAGAAAAAAAAAGCCTAACGAGGTCCTTTTTTCTGTGTAAATATATTGTTTTTATACTTTTCGTTTTAGAATTCCCCTGTTATAAATGAAATAAAAATGACCCCACCTTACGAAGGAAAAGGAACGACGTTCCTTCTTCCGTTCCCGTAAAAATGTAACGAGTTCCCGTTCCAGTTCCATTGATGCAAACTGGAACGGCGGCGTTCCTTCGTTCGTCCTAAAAGGAACGCGTTCCAGGAGGAACGCCGTTCCGTACAACACTGGCTTTCGGGAGATGGATTAGTTTCGCGTTCGGCTGTTTAGTGTTCAGTGGCGCAACCACCTCTGACGCCGACTTGATCACCGACTTAGAGGCCGTTGGAGGCCGTACAACGTTGTCTGGTGCTTGACCAGGGTGTAAAATAGACAGGTGGGGAAACGAGAGCCCAATGAGCGACCGGATTGTGTCCCCCTCGGGTTTCTCTTTTTCTGTGGCGCCATCTATGTGGAGCACCGCGAACTCTGGCTCAGGGTAGGCGACCGGTGGCGACCTGCTAAACTGACGGAGATGGTTTCTCGTAGATTTTCAATGGAGGACTGTCGTGCTCTTGGTTTATTTTGCGCACTCTCCCATAGAGTTCCACGCAAATCCGATTCCGATTTTTTTTCTCTCGCCGCAGCGCCATCTGTCGCAAATCGGGGGTACCCGCAAGCAGACGTGTACACAATCCGGTCACGGCGCTGCGGTAGGCTTCTATGGGCCGTTTCCCCACCTGCCTATCTTACACCCTGTGCTTGACACGACAACCGATTCAATCACAGGCACTCTCGCCATGTCAAGCTGCGGAATAAAATACATCTCGCTGACGTGTATTTGTGGCTCTGCAGCTCGTTTAGTTGGTATTTGTTCTTAAAGTGGTTTGCTGCACCATCATTTACGTAGCTCACATCAGCATTCCAAAATTGAATTTCACGACTCTCCCAACCATTATGTTATAAATGAACTTACAAAGAAACTCTATCAATCACAATTATTTTTTTTTTATGTATCTTTATTTTTTCCACGTCGTGCGGCCCTCCACGGCGGGGGATGTATTGGCGCTCACAGGCGGCGCATGTTCAGGTTCTGCTGCGCCCTACTTCCTATATCATGTTACCGCCAAGGTTGCCGGCTGATTTGTTTACAAAGTCGTTCCAATTGCTTCCTTCACGTGGCGTAGACAGAGACGCTCTCCGCCGGCTGTTGAAGCAGGCACCGCGAAGCATGTTACAGGGTGGTGCACTTCGATCGCTCCGGCCCTTGGGCATTTTTAAGTCGGTTGTACGAAAATGTATTAGAAATTTTTCCTTCAAAACTGCAGTCCACCTCTGTGCTGTCAATTTATCTTTTCCTGAACACCTCGTGGCATTTTACGCTTTTTAATAATAATGAAATTGTGAAGAATGGGTATGTGTGCGCCCCATTTATGGCAATTACGTCAGCGTCAATTTGAGCATGTTTCTCGCTTTATAACTTATAAGCCATATTTTTGCATCATGTTTTTGCACACCCTGCTAGTTCATATTATAAACGTTAATGTCCGAGAGTTTAAAGACTATTAAAGATGGCCTTTTTTAAAATGCTTTTCAAAATAGCGAATTTTTAGTTAAATGACCCTGTGTGAGCAATTCCTGTAAATTTCTCCCCCTAACCAGGACAATATTTCACGCAAAGATGAACTACATACAGGACAACAGGCTGGCAAAGTTTGAAGACCTTAGCTTTTAAAGATATGGAGAAAAATATTCGTTGATCCAGAGCATTATTGGGCAATGTGCCTAGCTTGCAATTTTTTTTTTCTAAAAAAAAAAACGGCCCTAATACTTTGTGACTAATACATTTTGTCAATCCTTCCTAGGCCTAATTTGTCAGTGAATACTTCTAGACCGGCAGCCAAAACAGGTTTTTGGGTAGGTAGGTAGGAACGTTTATTTCACTTTTTTGCATTAAGAAATGCTGCGGTGAAAGGGTTTAGGGTACAGGAACGGGGGACAGGGGGCCTCCATTCCTCTCTGTTGGCCCGGTTGGTGCGACGGCGTCAGAGGATAGATGTACAGTAGGCTCAGGCCTGGTGTCTTGCCTGGGCTCAGTGGTGGAGAGCTGAATGCCTTGAAGTTCCGTGCCGACAGGGGGAGCTGCAGGGTCCTGGATGTACGCGAGCAGCGATCGCCAGAGTTCGATTGAAAATTGCTAGCTCGAGAAGCATTCGGGTAGTGGCCCGTGTCCGATCGCTGCAACGACGACAATAGCCGAGCCATAACAATGTCTGGAACTCAGCAGGCGAGAGCGTCGGCCTACGGATCCCTATGTGGCGGGTTCGAATCCCGGCCAAGGTGCCCGCAATCTGACGGAGGCTTATTGCGGAGAAGACGCCGTGTAACCGAGCTTTCGGTTGCACGTCAAAAGATCCCCAGGTGGTCGAAATTAATGCTCAGTCCTCCGCTGGGGCGTGCCAGATGCCCGTCGTTGGTTTGGCACGTAAAACCTCCAAATTTGACTTTGTCTGGAACTCAGCGCGTGTCCTGAGCTTTGCCAACCCCAGCGCATGGCTATGATGAACATTGGCGGTATATAATCGGCTCCAGATCACGTGGCCGCTTGTTCTGGCTGCGAGTTGAGGGGGTGAACGCTGCTCGTTTTTCTTTAATTTTTTACTGGGACTTCTATTGCGTGGGGTGAAAAGCGAACACGAGTTTCATAGGTCATTAACGTCAGGGATCCATTCTAAGCGGTATTTGCGCAAAGCACAAAAATTGTTGCATCACCCCTTTAACCAGCTTCGAGCAAACGGGCCCTGGGAGGATCGGTGCCGAGTAGGCTAGCGCACACCAGCTCGGAGCACGTGGAGTGAACGCTCGCGTTGCAGAACCCAGGGATCCTGGGTTCAATCTCCACCGCTGCCCGTTTTGATCTTGATGAGCATTGTACCGGCGTGCGGTCGTGTATCCCTACTGCGTGGTGCACGTTAAAGACCCCAGGCTAGCGGTTGTACTGCACTGCCTAAATTTCACATCTACAACCGGGAGACACGTCACCCGTTGAGGCAGACCAAGTTCTAGGCTGCATAAAGATTCACTTGTTAAAGAAAGAATAAAGAAAAAGGACGGACAATTACGGACATCTTTCTACTTTCAACATGTAGCGTTTTTTATTAGATGTTGGCGTCGCGATCGGTGGACCATGAGGGAAAGAGGGGAATGAAAGGAAAAGTGAAAGAAGGGAGGGAGAGGAGGAGGGAAAGAAGGAAAGGAGGGATAGAGGGAAAGGGGGAAGGAAAGGAAAAGTGAAACAAGGAGAAAGAGGAAGGGGAAGGTCGATGTACGATGAGAAGGGGGGGGCCGGCTTGAGAAACTCAGGAAGTTGTTAGCCCGATAAGATTGGGCAGGGGGGGGGGGGGGCGAAGGGGAGTCATCTTGAGACACAAAGCGGCGCCGCATAGCCGCATTGTCTTTGTCAGTGAGCAAGGGCACCCGCGGGCCCGCGTCAAGGCCGCCAGTTGGGGTCGCAGGTAAGCCGCCTCCCTCTCCGAAAGGAAAAGCGAGGGAAACGAAATGTTTTGAGATGCCTGCTGCATGGCATATGCTTCAATTATCTCGTGCCCGTAGCGGTCTCTATTTGAGCCCAGAATTCGTACGTTGTGAAACGGGCTCACACGAAGAGCATGCGCCTCTATGGCGGAGAATGGGATGCTGGGACTGAATGTCTTCTTTTTTTTTATTTCCCTGTCGTGCTCGCCGAGCCTGTCATTCACGCAGCGACCCGTTTTATCAATATACTCGGCGCCGCACGACAGGGGGATTGAGTACACGCGACAAGTTGCTCAGGGAATGAAGCCTGTTTTGTGTTTTTTTGCACACCCTGCATGTGAACGGCGGTGGGGGTCGTTCACGAGGTGGCACATGGAACCTTATCGGAACCGGCATGATAAGGCCACATCGACGTCGTACGGGCAGGCCGCAGCCCTCTGGCGATGTGATATGTTCTGGTGGTAAGGGATTACTGCGAATTTTTTTGGTCGAGGTGGTCCGGTGCGGTCGGGGTGAGGCTGGGAGATCAGAGATTTTAGGGATGCCGTAAGGAGGTCGCGTGGATAGCCCGCCTTCTGGAGGCGACAGATTTGGGCAGTTAAGCTGGTCTGAGAAAAGTGGGGGCAAGATTTGGCACGGGATGAGGAAAAGAGGGATCTTACAATCGCGGACTTCACAGTTTTTGAATGGTTGCTTCCGAACAGTAGCACGGGCTTCTTGGACCGCTGCTGGAAACCCCAGCAGAGTCCATTGGATTTGGTGTTCAGGCGCAGATCGAGGAACTGTAATTCCCCGTCCGAAGGGTCTTCTTTGGTGAACTTGAGGCCTTGGGAGTGGGTTGAGAAAAAGCTCGCAGGAACGCCTCGAGTGTGATTCCAGTTGAGTTTTGAAACTTAGCCACTCCGCATTGCCTGACAGCCCGTTCAATGTAAGCCACCAGAACCATCACGTCGAGGCTGTAATACATGTCGGTGACATCTAGGAAAAACATGGCGACGTCTGGCCCAGCTGAGTGAAGTTCCCGGAGATATAGAAGAACCTCGAGGGAACATTCGACCCGGAAAGGCTGATCGAGAGGGACGGCTGTCAAATGTGTCTGAAGGAAGAGGGCCAGCAGCCGCTCTTTAATACAATGCCTCCGAAAGGTGTGTTCTGTTTGCGCGTTTTTGCCGTGAAGAAAACCCGCAGGTACTGATCCGATGGTTTTGACACTTTGTTGAGAAAAAAGGTGAGCTCGTTGGCTTTGCAGATAGTTTTAGCCTCTGTGCGGAAAGACCCCGATGGTCTGGACTTCATTTTCTTGAAGTTTTTGTCAAAAACTGCACCCAGTCTGTTGTTGAAGTCCCCGGCGGTCATAACAACGAACACACCCATCCTGTCAGACTCCAGGAGTTTCAGCTCTGAACGCCTGAGCTCGTCAACTACCTCCAAAAACTCCAGTTTTGAAGGTGGAGCCCTCCCGTATCTGCACGCCACTCGCAAACCCGTCGCGAGGAAATCCTGTCGTTCAAGTTCAGGGATTTTTGAGGCGACCTGGTGGACAGTAGCCAGCTGGTCAATTCGCGACAGCTCATACGCGGGGGCAAACTTGGGACCTCTTGAGAGAACTGCCTCAGCTTGTGCCGAAAGGGTGGTGTCGGAGAGGTTGATAGAAGGGACCAGCGCGGGGTTCTGATTAGCTCGCTTTTTTGCGGTTGCGTTGGAGAGGATAAGCTTCCAAGAAGACTCCAGGAGAAGGTGGGCGGGCTTGTTGAGAAAGACATAGGAGGGATGAGTGGCGAAGTTAGTACCGAAAGTAGCCGTCATGACCCTATTGAAAAAAACAGCTTAAGCTGGTCCCAGCTTCAAGCTGGGTTATTGCCCCAGCATGCCCAGCTTGGCATGGTGGTCATGCTGGTTGATCTGGTCATACTGGTCATGCTGGTTTATCTGGTCATGCTGGTTGATCTGGTCCCAGCTTCAAGCTGGGTTATTGCCCCACCCTATGGGAAAAACCGGCATGAAAATCAAACTGGCCAAGCTGGTAACTAAGCTGGTCAATGTGGTAGTCAAACTGGGTTAACTCGCAATCAAGCTGGTTTAAGCTGGGCAAGCTAGAATTTAAGCTGGTCAGTCTGGTTTAAGTAAAAACCATCATGGTCTCACTAGAATCTGGTTTTAGATTCAATCTGGTGTAGCTAGGAGCCAGTCTGGTTTTAACTGGTCAAACTGGTTTTCCATGGAGCCAATGTGGTCAAGCTGGGAGACAAGCTGGTCATGCTGGGAGACAAGCTGGTGAATCTGGTCGGACTTATGATCGTGGTGGTCAAGCTGGTCATGCTGGGAGCGCGCACGCCAAGGTCGGCTAGAGATAGCCGAACTGGCATTGCTGGGAGCGCGCGCGCCAAGGTCGGCTTAGGCTGGAACGAGGCCACGTCTTGTTCTTTGTCCTCTCGTTTTTGGTAGACGACCGGGCGCGTCAGGCGCGCTGCAAGCTACCTTTGTGTGCGAAAAGAGAGAGAGAGAGAGAGAGTGGCAGGAACGGAGAATTTGCGACGCGTTTGGCCATCTTGGACAGATTTTCGAAGGGACGGCTGTGTGCGCGTTGTTTGGAGACTAGTTGAATGACGGTGCAAGCGAAGCGGGTTTTGAGGAGACAGCGAGCGGCAGTCCGTTCAGTGCGGGAAGATGTCGGACGTCCCGACTGAGGCGTCGCTTCGTGTCTTCGAACGTGTGTGTGCTCAAGAATGACGGCGGTGCCCAGGAGTGTCGCCAATGCCATCCAAGCCACACGGATTTCCTCGCCTCTGCCGACCACGCAAGTTGCCGCTTCGCTCCCATCACTGGCGGGACCCAGGTTCACTTTTGTCATCCGTGTAATATCTTTCGTTTGCTATTGCCTGTTTTTGGCGTGTGTCTAGTATTTTTCGTGTTGAAAGATAAGCAATCTGGTTTTATTAACATTGTATGCTTTGCACCGAGAACCACTGTCTGGTTCTCTTCAGAAAAGACAACTCGGCATCCAATTTATTATTTTCGTACTCGCGGCCGCCTCACATGAACACGGATGCTACATATCCTCGGCGCTGACACAGTACTAAGCGACGCACATACAGTGGTTCTCGGTGCAAAGCCAAGAATGTTAATAAAACCAGATTGCTTGTCTTTCAACGCGAAAAATACTAGACACCCGCCAAAAACAGGCAGCAGCAAAAGAAAATGCTACACGGATGAGAGAGGCGAACCTGGGTCCCGCCAGTGATGGGGGCGAAGTGGCAACTTGCGTGGTCGGCAGAGGCGAGGAAATCCGTGTGGCTTGCGTGGCATTGGCGATACTCCTCGGCGCCACCGTCATTCACGAGCACACAAACGTTAGAAGACACGAAGCGACGCCTCAATGGGGACGTCCGACATCTTCCCGCACTGAACGGACTGCCGCTCGCTGTCTCCTCAAAACCCGCTTCGCTTGCGCCGTCGTTCAAGTAGTCTCCAAACAACGCGCACACAGCCGTCCCCTCGAAAATCTGTCCAAGATAGCCAAACGCGTCTCAAATTCTACGTTCATACCACTCTCTCTCTCTATTTTCTCGCACACAAAGGTAGCTTGCAGCGCGCCTGACGCGCCCGGTCGTCTACCAAAAACGAGAGGACAAAGAACAGGACGTGGCCTCGTTTCAGCCTAAGCCGACCTTGGCGCGCGCTCCCAGCAATGCCAGTTCGGCTATCTCTAGCCGACCTTGGCGTGCGCGCTCCCAGCATGACCAGCTTGACCACCAGGATTATTAGTTCGACCAGATTCGCTAGCTTGTCTCCCAGTATGACCAGCTTGTCTCCCAGCTTGACCACATTGGCTCCATGGAAAACCAGTTTGACCAATTAGGACCAGACTGGTTCCCAGCTACACCATATTGAATCTAAAACCATATTGTAGTTAGACCATGCTGGTTTTTACTTAAAGCAGACTGACCAGCTTAAATTCTAGCTTGCCCAGCTTAAACCAGCTTGATTGCCAGTTTGACTGCCACATTGACCAGATTGACCAGCTTAGTTACCATCTTGGCCAGTTTGATTCTCATGCTGGTTTTTCCAGTAGGGGAGGCATGGGACGGACCTCTGCATCACCAGGATCTCCTGCGATAACTCCTCTCGTGCAATCTGCATCACTCTGTAGTTCGCCGCCCAACGCGTCGAGGAGAATTCAAACACCTGATGTATCGGAGGGTGGGTGATAGTTTTGCGAAGGCAGGGACCGAGGGTTCTCAGGCGTAGGCGAAGGAGGAAGTTTTGACACGAATATTGAAGCTCGAAGGAAGGTGACAGAATCAAATTCCGAGGGCCCGACGCTTGGCACATCCGTACGTGACGAACACATGGCTCTCAAAAGTAAGACATAGTTGAACGTGAGCGCGTTGGTTTTGATAACTTGTTACAGAAAGAGTAACCAAAAAGGACGGACAAGAACGGACATCTTTCTACTTTCAACAACATGTGACGTTTTTTATTAGATGTTGGCGTCGATATCGGTGGACCATGAGGAAAAGGGGAAAGGAAAGGAAAAGTGAAAGAAGTGAGGGAGAGGAGGGGGAAGGTCGGGGCTGCAGGAGAGCGAGTATTTGTGAGCCTAGTACGACAAGAAGGGGGGGGGGGGGTCGACTTGAGAAACTGTAACAAAAAACCAATGCGCTCACGTTCAAATATATAAAGATTCACACAACCCAATCTTTTTCCCACCCTTGCCCGTTTCAATCTGAGTGAGCATCGTACCAGCGTGCGGTTATGGAACACTATTGCGTGATGAAAGTTAAATACGTAAAACCTGAATCGATATACTGCACTGGATTTCGTCTCCAACGAAGACACCAGACTCTCTCTGGGTTGATTAACTTCCCGATGCCTAAAGATAAACACAACAGAATTACAGTTGATAGCTCCCCGTTGGTCTGCAATTTTCAACGTTGCAAAAAAAAAAAAAAAAAAAGATATAACGGGTTTACTAGTGACCGACCCGATGTTCTTCAAATTTGTCGCGAAGCTGGCACATACCTGCGATCAGCTTAGACCATTCTTCGTGATGCCTCAATGTAGATTATCACTGCCGCAAATTACATCGCACTCCATTATTATTATCATCACTAAACCGGGCCTCACAGGCATTCATTGTACGTGCTGCCTGTCTCTCTGTGGCGCCTGCGCTTACGAGAAAAGAAAAAAACAAATAGATGGGTACCTAATAAATAATATTTTGGTTTTATGCGTTACATCAGTGAGAGGGGTCGTGTTCCTTGATGTCACGTGGAAAAGATCGATGCTCGCAAGTGCTGCCGAAACAATATTTTGACGAACAGTAAGAATAAATGACATGCGTAATAAGGTGTTTAAATGCCCTTAACCACAGTTGCGTGTTAGCGCGTTTGATCGCGCTGCGCCGAGAAACGGAAAGAAGTCTCCAGCAAAACTTTGCTTTGTATGAAGCATGGAATTCAATTCAAGGAGTAGCGTGGCGCGCGATACAGGACGCAAGGATATCCTGATTTTTCGCAGCCGCAACGCAGTCAATGTTGTATGCGTTACCGAAAAAAAGTAACTAAATACGTTACTCGTTACTTGCAAATAAAGGTAACACGTTACCGACCTACGTTACCTCAAAATAAGAGGAACGCGTTACCGTTACCGTTACTGATAAAAAGTAACGCACGTTATTGTTGCGTTACTTTTTATTCACGAACAAAAGCATTTGCTGTTTCGACGTTTGCTATGTGCGTAAGCGCCATAGCTAAAATATGTCCATGCGGAAACTTAATTACCCTCTCTTTTTTAGGGTTTCACCCAAATAGTTACAAGAAAAAACGCGGAGGTATTTATGAAGCTGATTTATAGCATGGCAAACGGGGAAGGGAATGACACGAAGGTGTTATTCTCTTTCCCAGCGGGAAGCGAAACGCAGGCTTCGACGCATGAATCTCCCAAATCCACCCGAAGCCGGACCTCTTTGGCCTTCCAGCCGAGGTGACGGCGGGTCGAGGTCAATGAGCCGCGGGAGAAAACCAGTGACAGGTGGCGTGTGACGTCAAATCTGACGAGCAGCGACGTCAAAGAAACGTGGAGGACAGCGGCATTTTTAGAGCGCATCTCTTAGGGGCCCGTTTCCGGCTTGAGCGGCGTCGGCGTCGCCGTCGCCGTCGGCGTAACCGCGTGGTGCATTATGGGTAAATTTCCCCGCTAAATCTAGCGGAAAAATTTCCCCGCTAGATCTAGCGGAAAAATTTCCCCGCTAAATTTAGCGGAAAAAGTTCCCCGCTAAATCAAGCGGAAAAATTTTCCCCGCTAGATTTAGCAGAAAAAATTCTCCGCTAAATCTAGCGGAAATATTTTCCCGCTAAATCTAGCAGAAACATTTCTCCGCTAAATCTAGCGGAAAAATTTCTCCACTAAATTTAGCGGAAAAATTTCTCCGCTAAATCTATCGGGAAAAATGCCCCGCTAAATCTAGCGGAAAAAATTCCCCGCTAAATGAAGCGTAAAAATTTTTCTGGGGGGTCACGTGACCCCCCAAGGTCACATGACCCCCCCCCCCCCCCCGCCCCGAGAACAAGTAACCCTCAGTACCCTTCCCTCCTCCTCCTCAAGATCTGCGCTCCAATTCGGTGTTACAGGGAGTTGTAAACGGCTTCCATTTTTTTTACTAAGGAATTTATGACTAGACACTTAAAAACACACCAAAAAAAATTAAAATTTAATTTTTTAAAGTTTTAGGAAGTAAAGTAACGTAACGTAATTTCGTTACACGTTACTCAAAATAAGTAACGTAAGTACGTTACCCGTTACTTCTTTGGAAAAGTAACGAGAACGTTACTACGTTACCAAAAAAAGTAACGCGTTACCGGTAACGCGGTGACTTGTACCGCGTTACCGCCAACACTGAGTCAAACACACCCAAACGCTCGCAAAAGCGTTGCCTCTGGTTACCGCGGCCACGGTGTACTGCTCCTGGTGCGCGTTGCAGGGCATGCTTGAAGTGTAAGAGCGCGGGCTCCCGGTTGCACTGCCTCTCTGGGCAGTTTCGGGATCGCTAAGCTCATGACCAAGTCAAATGAGAGGGAGCAATAAAAACAACCATCGACAAGCCTCAAGCAAATGAAGCACGTGCGCGAATGTATGTGCAGGCTTGCAATAGCTCGTGTTTTCTTCAAAAGCACCGGGAGATAACAAGCCTGTCAAAGATACCTTTGCGTGCGTGTTGTTGTTCGTGAAAATGGGAAAAGCCCGCGCGTAAATATTATCCACCCATAACTGGGGAAAGACTCGCACGGGCTGGGGAGAAAGGAGTGAAAGAAGAGGGAGGAGAAGGGTGCTGTAAGCCAGTTTCGATTTCTGTCTATTAATCTGAGTAGTTCCCATGCTGACTACCAGGTGCGACTGTCTGTATATAGTTTTATGCCACGCGCATCGCGTGACACGTATGCTTGGATTCCGGAACTTAAAGATGTTTCCGATGTCTCCTTGAGCAACGTTACTGGAGCAAGCTCAGTTTCACAGCTTCCTATTCTCGCCTGCAGAGGTGAGTGGCCCAGGTGGCGGCCACGAGAACTGGCGGCGCTGCAGTCGGATCTTGCTTCCCTATCACGCGCGTCTTCTGCTACCACTGCGTTGAGACCTTCCTTTTCTTTCTCATTTCTTCCTTTTTTTCCATGTGTATAATAGCAAAAAAAAAAAAAAAAGGATAAAGGTGAAGTGTAATGGCCCGTTCACACGATGCATTTTTCTGGCGCATCTAGTGTCGCGAAACGTAGTATTGAGAAATGGTTGCGCCGTCTGAACGAGTCCGAAAAGGACGCGCGCATCTGAAAAAAGTTGCGCGCACACCTCGCTTCTGGAGCGAGCTTTTGCTGAAACTTTGCCGAGTCCTGTCAATCACTCTGAGGGCGCCGCCAATGGCCGCTCAGAAACGCTCTCACGTGGCCTTTGAGGGGGGACCGAGCTGTTTGAGAAGATCACTTCACTGCCGGTGTTGTAGCCGAGCCAAATCCGAAAAAAAAAACAACGAAACCACGAACGATGGATACTGCCGGCGCTTCCGCAAGCACGTCAAGCACCACTGAAGGAAATGTGAGTAGCATATCGGAAAAAAATCCAGCGATGGAAGAAGACGTAATTGGTGATGATGATAATTCGCGTCTATTTTAAGTCATAATTAAGAAATAAAACCTTGAGACAAGGAAACAAAAAGGGACGTACACAGTACCGTCTCAAAACCAGCACAGCGTACAGCCTCTCATTTACTTCAACAACAGTCATCTTCATTGTCAATTTCCATCCAAATTATACATATTCAACAGTAAATAAAGCAAATGGCAGTAAACGACAGTTCAACAACTAGTAAATGCCAATTTAAGAGTAAATTATGTAAATGTCGGTAAATGAAGGTTTTATTTCTTAATTATGATTGTTCACCAGCTCGACTGCGTTTTGACTCTGAGAATGTGGCGGAAGATGGAGAACACGACGGCTGAATGGCTAAAGGTAATGATGATGATGTTGGCTTTCAACTGAAGCGCCACTTTATGGTCAACACCCAAACTATTTTCGCGAGTCTAAACGTCATCGTTGTTGCACGTAAAGCGGTACGTGTGAACGAGCACATTTTGCGAAACTTGAGTGTCGCGAAACTGTTGCGCGCCTAAAAGATGCATCGTGTGAACAGACCATAGTACACCACAGGGATCAGAGTCAGCGCATCGTGGGTGTTCTTTCTTTGAGTGTTTGAGATTTATTTTCGTGCGCGTCTGTCTCCTTGCGCTGTGAAGTGTTAATATGAATCAACAACTCGCCCAAGCTCAAGAATTACTATTCAAACTTGGCGGGCTATACAATCCGGAAGCAAGACTCGACTGCAGCGCTGCTAGGTCTCGTGACCGCCACTGAGCCCACGTCGCAGGCGGAGCTGTAAAACTGAGCTTGCTCCAGTAGCGTTGCCCTTGAGTAGCCAGCCTCCCATTTCATCGAACGATACAACATTTGGCAACGAGAAGATGGGATCATAGGAATGAAGACGATGACGTCGAGTGCTTCAACTACTGTGGGGAAGCTTCCGGAGTTCTGCCCAGACTCAGGTGACATCGATGTGTATCTTGAGCGGTTCGAGCTGTATGCAGTGGCGAACGATGTTGCCAAAGGCAAGACGCTGCTCGTTCTTCTTACCGTGCTCG